CGTACCACGGACATTCCGCGACTACATGAACACAGTCTTCGCATTCGAAGCCGCAATCACATTTGAACTTGTCGCCTTCGTCGTCTACCGTCCTATGTCTTCGTCGACGTTCTCGAAGGCCTATGTCCCCGGTCCTGAATTTGACCTTAAGCTTTGTCCCTGCATCCATTGGTCCATGTAGGTCATCCTTGAACCCTATTCCTTCTTTCAACATTCCGTACACTTCTGGACCCTCCTTATCCTCGGTTTCTTCCTTAGATTCTGTTCTTCTCTCTCAGCAAAAGCAACAGATATCTTCTCCTTGAACCCCTGTAGACCCTCCGTTTCCAGCGTTTCATCTTCGCCGATGTCTAACCCTTTCCATACTTCCTCTACAACCTTGACCCATTCCGTGGGTTGTCTACCCCGCTTTTTGTTTGCCCACTTCGCCTCCCATACTATTCTCGGCAACCTCTCCTGTCCCATCCCGCACATGCGATACTGCCATGTCAGCTTCCTTACGTCTCTTCCCGACCGTAGGGGTTGGATCCCCAATTCGGCCCTTACGGCTGCATTACTTGTGCGCTTGGAGCATCCTAGGATGATTTTCGCTGCTTTTATCTGCGCCGCCTCGAGTTCTTTCACTACCTTCTTATTTCCTTCCCATACTTCTCCGGCGTACTCTAGCGGCGGTACGATTACGCTCTTCAAAACCGCCAATTTGATGCGTGTATCGAGGTGCCGGTTTGCGAGTGTTGGGTGCAGCTTCCCTGCTCGTGCTTTGCCCTTTTCCGCTACCCTGGATATGTGTGCATTCCACGAGCAGTCTTTTGCGATCTCTACTCCGAGGTATGTGTACTGGTCCACTACTGCAATCTCCTCTATCCCCCACTTCCATCTATATTCTACTGGTTCCTTCCTGACCTCGTTGCACACCATGACGGCACTCTTCTTAACGTTGGCAGACAATCTCCATTTATCAGTAAACTTCTTCGCCGCGTCAATTTGTAGTTGCAGGTGCAGTCCCTCAGGGGTGTCCGACATACCAACAAAATCATCCGCAAACAGCATTCCTGACACCGAAGTTTCCGTGTCCCCTACTTTTACTCCCTTCCGGACTGCCTCTACGACTTCCAACAGATCGTTGATGAACACCTGGAACAATGTTGGGGACAGCGTGCAACCTTGTGGGACCCCCTGCTCAATGTCGAAGAACTTAGACAGTTCTCCGTCTAGCATGGCCGCGCTTTTCGTACACTCTGTCATCTTCTTCAGCACTCTCCACATTTTCCCCTTGATCCCGTACTTGGACAATTGTTTCCACAGCCCATTTCTCCATACGGTATCGTATGCCTTTTTCACGTCCAGGAAGAAGCAGTACGTCGGCTTTCCCGCCCTCTTTCTACCTTGGATGATTCTCCCTACCGTGAATGCGTGGTCTACGCACCACCTCTGCTTTCGGAAACCTGCCTGGCCCTCACTATTGCTACGTTCCTTCTCCAATACTCCCACTATCCTATCGTTCAGCAGCTTACAAAACACTTTTCCTACTGTGTTCAACAGTGTGATACCCCTGTAGTTTCCTGGGTCAGTCTTGTCTCCTTTCTTAAACAAGTTCACGACCACTCCTTCCCTTCATCTACTTGGCGCATACTCGTTTTTCCACACCCAGTTGTACAGCAGTACCATCAACTGGATAATCCCCTTCCCCCCAAACTTCATGAACTCGTTGACTATCCCATCCGCCCCTGCTGCTTTGTGGCACTGCAACTTGTTCACACACGCCTCAACCTCGTCCTCAGTGAACTCCTTTTCTAGTTCTACGTTCCCAACGTCTGCCTTCGATGTCTCTTCTTCTTTCTGGGCCCATGCGTCCACCTCCTCCTTAAACACTTGGTCAAAATGTTCGTTCTCCGAAGGCACTCCAAGTCTCTTGTAGTGTCCTGCTAGAACTTCCCTTTTTCCCTTCCCACCGCTGACTAGTCCACCGTTCACACCTCGCAAAGTTGCTACCCCTGTATCCCCCCCTTGCGCGGTCTTTTTTACCATCCCACTAATCCCTTCCCATATCTGCTTGGCGGGGGCGGGGGAGGAAAGAAGCGAGGCGCTAAAAAGAGTGTGGAACAAAAAACATCCCGATGTTCCCATGACGATGGCGTGATGAGGAAACGCGCCCCACCCGATGAAGTCTACCCGCATCTTGGTTGGAACATCTTGGCTCTGGTGTTGACAACGAACTACTGCTGTACCATGTGCATAGAGTAGTGCGGAGTTCTGGACTTCTCCGTTCAAAACAAGAGTAGTATGGTACAGCATGCGTGAGTCAGCATCATCTATGATCGAGCGCATCGCGCGCACTACAACTACTATTGAACACACCCTGACTCTGGACCGCGCGTCCCTCGCCCGCCGTCGGGCCTGAGTTGCGATCTCTCTAGCCCTCCCGCGCCCGGCCGCCGTGGTTCCGGCCGCAGCGCTGCTGACACACACCACGCGAGAGAGCGAAAAAAGGGAAAGAGACCTCCAAGTGGTCAAGTCAAGTCCGGCGACACCTTCGTCTTCCAAACTCCACCTTCTTCGTGGTGCTGTACGCCAACGGGCCCCTAGATGTGCGATCTTGCTTGTGGTTGGGCCCGGGAGGGGGCTAAGGAGTATGTGGATGTTGCGAATGGCGGCGTGAAAAACACGAACAGAAGGCGGACAATTTCGTTTTCTTGGGTTGAACATGGCTAGAGACACACAGAAATATGTATCGTGCCAGAAGACACAAGCCTTGAGCGTGCCCTTGCTCTGGGCCCAACTTGATTATCCATCTGGGCTACACCGAGAACTGAAAGGCAAGGGCACCTCCGCTTCTCCGTTGGGGCGGGGCCTCGAGGGAGGGTGGGCGTAGAGACCGGAGGGAGAGATGCACGAGGAGGTACAGCCAGGTTGCCGTTGCAGTTGCGAAACGGTCGTAATGCGAGGGAATGTATCTAGATCCCTGAGCCGCAAGCAGGTTAATTATCCTCTGGCTGGTTGCCCACAGCATTACCACAACAGTCGAGGTGATTGGAAGGGCCGTTTTGCAAGGGCTACTTCATGGCAGGGGACGAATCAACGGTCAGGCACCCAACACACACCTCCGGTCATCTGCTGCCGAGGGAAGTGCCAACACGAACGAAGAAGAAGACCTGTCCTGATAATGCTGATGATGCCGGCTTCTGCAGCCGAGGCCGGGCACGACGAACCCCGTCACCCCCACGGGAGTATAGACACATAGTAGAAGCGGCAAAGAGTACGCGGCTTGTACGACCTTCATCGCACTCAGCGCGTCAGTTGCACTGGTCGTGGTATGATCATGCGGCGGAATGGTGCGAGGTGCACCGCGAAATGCAGACGAATTTTTGGGGGTATGCCAATTTGGCCAACCACCGAGTTACCGGGAGGGATGCCTGCTGGACGCCTGGTGTGGGTGCTGGTGGAGGACACACAGCAGGCAGCAGGTGTCGAATACTGCGGTTGTTTCCCGGGAGACCCTGGAGATTTCGTGGCCTGAAGGTAGGTTATTGGGGCGTTGCGTAAAGAACAGGGAGAAGGTCATTGGTCAACGCACAAAGGAGAGCACCATGCGGTACGAGTCATCGAATACCCACTGACTGGACCGGGTTTCAAGACACGATTGCTCCACACCGTAGATGGCGCGCAAGCCGACCAATACGTGTACGGACAAGCTCTCGACTAGATCTCTCCAGAGCTACCCTTGTCGGCACTCTGGCAGCCTGTTGGTTTTGGAGTAATCGAGCTATGAAAGCCGCTCAGGCCGGGGTGTGCAGTGAAATAGAGCCAGCAGGACGGCCGTAGACGGTTGACAGCACAGGGTGCAGTGCGCTCACGTTGGTCAGGACCTTGCAAGTACTTGTGGTCGAAGTCATTCTCGATGCGTGAGAGAAAGATTCCGCAACAGCCTGATAAGAGAGTTGGCACGGGTCGCGAGAGTTGGCACAACCGTTGTAGTTGTTGTGCTTTCACCGAGCAGTTCTCCGTCTTGTAGTGGTGTATAACTTCGTGGACCTGCCCATACATGTAGTCACGTGGTAGGATGTGGTGGGTTTGAACTTAATGTTGGGATTTCTTTTGGAAGCTCGGGAATGTACGAATGAACCAATCTACAAATCTACAAACACCAGTTATTTATTAAACTGCGAGCTGTTGATGGGAATGACCTTACAGATAATAGGCCTCAACCCCACAACCCTCCCACCGCTGCCCTCGCCGCTCGCTGTGTGTTTGACGCTGTATCGACCAACCGTGTACCGCAGCAGCTTAACGCCCATGGACACTCACCGCAGCAAGAAGCGCAAGCGCACCAACATGGCGGCAGGCACAAGCCGGGCATGTCCTCAGCCGGCTACCCTCAGAGCGAAGAAAGACGGCAGTCAGCGCTCTTGCGTGGCTTGCGGCGTCAGCGTGCGTGGCGGGATCGCGGGATGGGCGGCGGGAAGCGCCAGGTGCGTAGAGTGTGGCGAAGAGTACCACCTGGGCTGCGTCGACCCTTCGGTGCCGTACGTGCGAAGAGCGGGCTGGGTGTGCGGCGTGTGCAGCAGCAACGACCACCATCGGTCGCGAGGTGAAAGGTCAGCAGCAGCAGAAGCCGCGGCCCAGCTCTCAGCATCCCAGCAGCAACGACAGCAGCAGCAGCAGCAGGAAGGGGTTCATGCACCACCCTCGCGGGTCGTGCACGTGTTGTCCTCGGCGCTCACACGTTTGTCCAGCTTACCTGATGGCGGCGGCGGCAGCGGCGGCGGCGGAAAAGTGACAGCGGGACGACGGGCACCGAACGGGATGAACCCAACCGCAGCGGCAGCGGCAGCGGCAGCGGCAGCGGCAGCGGCAATGGCAGCAGCAGAAGCAGCAACAGCAGCAGCCACAGCCACAGCAGCAGCAACAACAGCAACAGCAGCAGCAGTAGCAGCAGCAGCAACAGCAGCAACAGCAACAACGAGAGGGGGCGAGCCATCGTCGGGCAGCTGGAACAGGAAACGGGGGGACACGGTGACCACGACGGACAGCGTCCTGGCGTGGGCTCTCAGGAGCATCGGGGGGAACGGGGACGAAGGCACGAAGCGTAACCTTGGCGGTGTCGGTGACGCCAATAGCTGTGGCAGTAGCGGTGCAGGTGTCGTCGTCGTCGGCGGCGGCGGCAGTGACAGCTTTCCCGGCGTGATCTACGAGGAAGCCAAGGGTGGTGGTGGTGGTCCCAATTCACGGCTGTTGCCGAGGGAAAGAGAGGGCGTCAACCGGAGCGGCCGCGGAGGCTCGAATGGCGATGGCAGCGACGTCGCTGGCAGCGGTGACGGTGCCATCGGTGCTCGAGATGATGGTTCGTCTCGAAAGCGGTCGCTGGGAGCGAGAGAGGACAGAGAGGAGGAGAGCGAGAAGCCCGGGTTTTGGGACATGGACGAAAACACACGGTTTCTGCAGGTACACGTGCTGTTGTCATGCTACGATGGAGCGGGACAAACACTTTTGGTTGGCGAGGGTGGAATTTGTAACTCCTAGCCCTGCTTCTGTTTTGCTCGAGTTATAACGGTCATGGGTTTGTGAAGTAATCAAGACGCATTTGTTGATTCTCCTCTTCATGCTGCGAGGCACAGAGAGTGCAAGAGTTAAAGCGATCCTCTACCTACCTGTGGCTCTTGTCTCTGCCTGTCTGCCTGTCTGTCTCTCTTGTCTCTCGCTGTTTCTCTCTCTGTCTCAATTCTGTGGTGTTGCCAACAACCGTCTCCCGCCCCCCCCCCCCCTACTGGTTAACCCTATAACCCGTGATTGTTGTTCTCTGGGTAAAGGGTGTCACGAAGCACGGTGGTGCGTGGGCACGGCTCGCACAAAAACACACTGAGCTCGGGGTGGTAGCCGTGGAAGAAAGCGAAGGTGAAGATGGTGCTCATGCCTCTCGTCGCAACAACGACGACAGCAGACACGTGGACGAAGGCCGAGATAGTGATGGCGTTGGCGGAGATAAGCCTCGTACATCGCTGGCAGCAGGGCCGGCCGGTGAAGGCACGAAGCAGCCGGGGAAGAAGGCGCGGAAGGGGGGGGACAAGGGCAGCAAGCAGGGGAAAGATAAGAAAAAGCAGAAGAGTCGGCGCGGGTCCAGTGAATGGGACGACGAAGAGCACGAGCGGTTTGTCAAGGTAAGGTCAATATGTGCTTTGTTGCTGACCGAAGTTGAGAATATGGTTCGGAGGAACGAGCGGCAGTAGCAAAACGGGGTGGTTTGTGCTTGATGCTGGGTGCTTGGAAGCAGGCTGGGCAAGAATCTTGCCGAAAAAAATAGTAAAAAGTATACTTCAGGGCTTGGCACATGTACACCCTACACCGTATAGTCTTTGAACGGAAAGACTCCCCGTGTTTAAGAAATTGTATCGCAAGGTCGATTGAGCAGTTCAAATCGTCGTACAGCAGTAATGGGGCACCGCTGGTGTAGGGGGTATACTTCGGAGACTCTCCAACATCTCTCTGTCGAAGACGGTTCCCTCTTGGGGCGGGGTAGTTTCAACGTGACCATTGGAAGGGTCCCGTCTTGCCAACTTCTACCAAGGATAAACTCCCTCTTTACTCTACCGACTACCTCCCGCCCCCCCCACCCTGTACTGGGGCATAGGAAGTGGGTTGAAAAGGCGGGAAGTGATATCGGTAGGACAGATAGACAGAATAGGGAAGACATTTTTGAGCCACCTTTGGCAAAGTAGGAGAGAACGATTGGCCATCGGTGATCAGTCCTGTGGGAACAATGCTCCGTCCTCTCGAGGACGCGTGGTCAATGGTTTAACCGCTAAGGCATGCGAAACATAAGAGTACGCCCTGCCCCCCACCGCCCACCCCCTCTTGTTGTCCCTTCGCTCCAACCTTGGCGTGTGCTTGCGCGCGCGTGCATGTACCTCTTCTTCGCCCTGACATAACAAGGGTTTCGAACGGCACGGCAAGGCGTGGGCGGAAGTAGCGCAAGTGGTGCGGACGCGGGACGAGGGTCAGGTTCAAGGGTACTCTGCCCGTTGGGTTACCCGTACCGGTGGCCTTCACGAAAGCTTTCGCAAGATTGGCGAGTGGGAAGGCGACGAGCACGACCGGTTTATGGAGGCAAGAGTTTGGGCTTTTGGTATTCTAGCGAGAAACGGAATGGGGGATGTTTTGTCTTGTGTGCGTGTTGCCACGTGTTTTTTTCGGAATCGTGTGAAGTCGTGCCGCAAGTAGACCGGTTTCAAGGCCAATGCCCCCTCCCCCCTCCACCCAGTCTTGTGGTCAATGGCCTAGCCGCTAAGGCATGCTAAACATGAGTTCCCCCCTCCCCCACCCCTCCCCCACCCAGTCAGAGAGAGCGGGGATTTCTGTCAGTTGGAGATGGTGAGGAGATACTTCACCTTAGGAGTAGGGGCCATTTACTGCCGGTCGGTGTGGAAACGAAAGTTGCACAGAAGATAGATTCGACGACGCCAAATGAGCAATCGGGAACCCCCCCCCCAAAAAAAAAAATACGCCCTCTACCCTCGCCCGCGCGGGCGCCTCCCTTTGTGTCGTGACCCGTACCGTGGTACGCCGAACAGGGGGTCAAGCTGTACGGCCGCTCGTGGGTCGATGTCGCGAGCGTGGTGCGCACGCGAACGAACCGGCAAGTGATCATGCACGCCATGCACCGCCTGAACGACGACCTGTCCTCCAAGCCCAGCTTACGGGCTTGCACATCAACAGGTGGGTGGCGACTGTCTACAAGAAGCTGGCGCCTTAGACCTACCCGAGACTACCCCTTGGAGCCAGCCGCAGAAAGGGTGCTGGGAGGGACTGCAGCCGTCGATGCAATTGTGCACAACAGCGTTATGTCGTGTTTTGTTTTTTCAGGTGGAACCGTGTGTAACCCCGCTCTGCGAGGTATCGTGCGCCACCGTGTCCTACCGCAAGTACTAGAGGTCTCTCTGTGTCCCTCTCACTCCCTCGCCTCTGTTTCTTCTGCGGTTGTGTACCACATATCGGCGTGGGCAGGGCATAGTCAGGGTCTTGATGGTTTCTCAAGTGGACCGAAATGCCCACAACCCTGTGCTCAACCCGTGCACGAAGCGCACGCTTGGAATGCGTTTTTTTTTGTGAACATCTCAGCGATAAAAACGATCTTGCTCGCCTCCAGGCCTTCCGCTTGTTTTTTCGATCCCCGACAAGGCCGCCGATTGTCGCCGTACGTACTACTCCCGGGCACGTCTGTTTGTTTTTACTCTCGTCGGTTTTCCGCCACACAGGGCCACAGGCAACGGATCGAGCACCTCCCCCGGCACAACCACGTGCTGCCGTAAACGGCGGCGATTGGGGAGACGACGAACATGAGGCTTTCATGAAGGCAAGAAGAGCGGTGTAGGCAGCCTTGGGAGCGGGACGTATTTTGTGGAAGGAATTGCGTACACCGGTGTGCGTACACCGGTGTATCGACGGCAGTGAATTACCACTGTGTTTATTTAGATCCGCTGCCGTGGGAGACGAGGCACTGTATGGCGCCAGTAGCACGGGGGACACGCAGTTTCGGTGTGGACCCTGGCCGGAAAGGGATGAACGCACTGTGAAGCAGCGGTACGAGAACCATATGCCTCTGGTAGAAGGCGGAATGCGCGCGCAGTCACTTCTGTGATTTGCTAGAGGTGAGAGAGAACAGAGCAAGCGAACCCTATCTTGGAAGTGACCAAGTAACCCCCGGCGCGTTCCTTGACGTGCTTCTTTTTTTTTGCGTGCTGGGCCCTCCTTCCTTGTGACTAAAAAAAAAAAGGGAGTCAAGATCTACGGCCGCTCGTGGGTCAGTGTAGCGAGACTCATGGGCACGCGCACCAACGAACAGGTTCGAGCGCACGCCAAGCAGTACCTCAACAAGGACCTGACCGAGAAACGCCCGTGGAGGTCTAAGAGGAGCAAGTCCACCACCCCTCCGGTGCCCAAGGCACCGACGCCTTGCCGGAAGGTCGCCGCCGCCGCTAGCCCCGCGTCCGGCGTGGGTGTCTCGAGCGCGCCCGCGTCGTTGGCACCGTCGTCGGTGCCTGCACGCCCCGCGCGAAGGAAGGCGGCCGCCGCGGCCGCCGCTAGGATTGAGTCCACGACTGCTGGGGGTGACGCGGATGGTGGTGGCGATGGTGAGTGGTGTCGTGATGCGGCAGACGCCGGCCATGACTCGTCCTCTGTGGTAGCGGACGGGAGCGAGAGTGCGAGCGAGAGCAAGACTCGAGAGGAAACGTGGCCGCCTCCTCTCGAGGTAAAACAAGAGGAGGAGGAGGAAGGGGGTGGATGGAGCAAGCGAGCACGGCTCCCCGGCGAGGTCGGCGGGGGGGCACACGAGGAAGGGCACACCCAGGACAAGAGTGCTGGCAAGAAAAAGAAAGCGAAGAAGACGAAGAAGAAGAAGAAGAAGGAATAAGACATGAGGGTCGTTGACATCGATCGCTCTCCGGAGCGCGGCGACAACCGGGGTGGCCGAGCTGTGAAGGTAAGAGCGAAAGCTAATACTGCGGCTTTGTGCGGTAGAGGGTGGGCTGGGGGTAGGCAAGTAGGCGAGGGGGGGCGCACTCTTCTTATTCTGCGCACGCCGTGGGACATTGGTGCGGTGCGGTGTCTGAGTTGTGTCGACAGTCTCGCCAAACAACCGTGTCCTTGTCCTTCTAGATTGTCTGTTCAACTCGGCCCCCTCAGCTGATACTGGAGTAATACGGAGTATCATGTTTGGGCTGAGGTTTTGGTCCGGGTGGCGTAGTTCTCGTGCTGTTGTGATCGTATGCTTCATGTCTTAACGCGGTGCTGAGCGCCATGCTCACATGGGTCCTGAAATGCCTATGACATGCCAATAATATATCATCCCCCCTCCATCCCCTTTTTTCATGGATGGCTATCGCCTGAGTAGAGGGCACCGGAGTTGCCTCTCCTAGCAAGAGCGGCGGTGGTGGCGGCGGAAAAGGACATGCCCCTGCTGGGAACAATAATAATAACTCCAAAGAGGTCGATCCGTTCCGCCTTGCTTCCCCCCAGCAAAGCGACGGCAACCGTGGCATGACGCTCACTGGGGCGGCGACCGCGGCACCAGTACCGGAAGGCAAAGCTAGTCAATAGGGCGCGAGGCCGTACACGATTGTGCGGCTTACCGTGCACAGGCGTTCTCTGGGTTAGGTTGTAACAGCAGGCAAGGGGTAGCCCCTCCCGGAGTCTAATAATGCCCGCCTTTGTTGTCTCCTCAGAAGAGAAGGGGAGCGACCGGGCCTGTCTGTGTTGATCGTTAGTTGCATGGGTCGGCAGCACGGAAGGAGTCGCGCATTAACCAGAACCACAACACCGACGGCACAGTGCGGCAACTTTTTGACTCCATTCCGCTCGTATTCGGATGTTGTTACTGTTAAGCGCGACGGAATGCGAATCTTTCCTGCGCCTGGTGCGGGTGCTCGGAGTAGACGAGAGCAGGGGCGTCGCGGAGCGTGAGGTGCGAGAGGCTGCCCCACCACTCCTCAAGGCGCGGTGTGATGCAAATGTAATCAATTTGTAACTGCTGCTGTCACAACGACAGGCAGGAACCATCTGAACGTGCTCGTTTCGAATGCACGTTCTCAGCTTGTGTTGGCCGCAGGGGGTACGCGACGCCCCGGAGGCAATCCACAGCACGCCGCCGCCAAGCAGATCTTGATCGTGCTGTAGTTGATTGTTTCCGCTGTTGTCTCAGACGAAACGGTTTCGAATTTTCACACGGGGTGTGCGAGGGGAGGGGGGGGGTTCAGAGCCCAGAAGAATTCCCATTCTCATTTGTATTTATTTCCTTCGTGCCCCTCTCTAGACCCAACCAGAGCATCAAAGTTTGACGGTCGTTCAGCACTACATGGTGTATCAGTGTACCGGTGACTGACGCGGCAAGAAAGCGGAAATTGAGGTTCATCGGAGTTGAATGAAGGCATTTGTACGTAGTAGCTCGTGCTCGCAACATGTCCCTTGGCCCTTGGGCGCCCCGGTGTCTCATCACGTCAGTCAGTGCTGATTTTCTGCATCAGGAGAGGGGGACTGCGTCACCCCGTGCGGCCCCGATTATTTCAGGGGGGCGGGTAGGCAAAAGCCAAGCCAAGCTGTAAGGGTCACAGGAAACCTTTTCGTGAGAGGACGACCCTGCTTGGTTTTGGGAAGTAGCTGTCGAAGAGGCCTGATTCATGTGCCAGCAAAAAGAAGCACGCTTTTCGAGAGACCAAAGGCGAAGCAGTTCATCTTGAAAATGACGTGGAACCAAACGACCTTCTTGAATTACCGACAAAACACCAACAAACTTCTTCACAAACAACCGCAGAGGGCAATATTGCCCGCACCTGAAGAGCAGACGAGCAACAGCGTTTAAGAGTGCGGGGGGGGGACGTGGTGCGCAGCGCCCCCTCCCCCCCCCCCCCCCGGGTCCCCCGGGGGCCCCCCCC